ACACCCATCATCAATACCCTTGTAATTTTATTAAATTTAAAAATAAACCCATATTTTTAACTATACCCTACATATCCAGTTTTTATTAAATCAAAGCTCGAAAGTAATTTCTGATTTATATATTTTGCATTATTAATCTCTGCATTACAATTTCAGTATAACTTGTTTCTTAACCAAAGCACCCCTTAATTAAAATCTAAAGCACCCGTGAATATAGGTGGGCTAGCATATAACATACGAGTTCACGTGAATCCAATAATCTTTTGTTTAGATACAATATATGTATTAAACATTCGACTATGAGTGCAATTAATATTGGATATTAACTTAAAATTGCTATAAGAATTCATAAAATACAAAATCTAAATCCACCTTTACCCCTTAGTATGTACTAGTCGTCTTCATTTTCTTAAACTTAATATTGAGTCAAATACATTGCTACAAAATGAAACACAGAATAGTATTATCTTTCTGTCTTATGTAACGGTATTTGACGATGTAAGGAGTTTAAGAAAAAAATAAAACTTTGACACTTGTGGTTTAAAATAAATTATAAATATTTGTATGATTATAAATTATTTGTTTAAGAGTAAAATAGAAAGTTTAAAGTGAAATTGTTAACTAAAATCCAAATTAGACACACGGACTATTTGTTAGTGTCATTACATAACCACGCTCCTGGACCAAAACCCCCAAAACCGTACCAGTAATCTAGTTAGACACACGCTGCTAGCTCTTCCTTCGTCACAAACCAGAAATAGATCACTGAATCTACTCCCTCCCGACCCCTATTTCCACGCCCCCATCTTCGACCAGCTCTCATACTGAGCTACTAATGGGCCCCTCTATCTCACACACACACAGTGATAGAAGGAGCTGACTAATGGCTGAATCTGTGAATCAAAGATGAAGATCACCGCCAACAACGCTGAGCTCCCGGCGATTACATTCTCCGAATTAGATCTTTTGCATAAACCGTCTAATAACACTTGTAAACCGTCTCGTCGGAAAACGAACAACTTCGCCGCTGCCGGAGTGAAGTTGAGAGGAACTCCTAATGGGAGGAGAAGCAGGCCTGAAACTCCTCTTCTCCGCTGGAAGTTCAAGGACAATGCCTCTATAAAGGAAGAAACTTCGCCATCGGAGCTTGATCGGAAATGTAGCCGGAGTGTGGTTTCCGCTAGGAAGTTAGCTGCTGGACTGTTTAAGCAGCAGCTTCCGGAAGTCAACCACGGTCAAAACTTAGGGTTTCAGGTATTTTTCCGTAAATTAATTTTTTTTATTTAGGGCTTTTGTGATTTGGCTGTTGATATATTGATTGACAGTTAACACTCGTAAAAAAAAATTGATTTTTCGAATCTAAGTAAATAGCTTGCATTTATATTATAAGGTGCATTAAGTTAACAAGTTAACATGTTGCATTTAGTCAAAGCAAAGGAGTAATAGAGAAAAGTGGAATCACTTCAGTAGTTTATTATTTCTTCCTAATTGAGATTTCTCCTTTTTAGTCCATTTGGGTATAACTGATTGTAAATTAACACGCAGCAACATATAAAATTTTGATTATTTGAATCTTATTGATTCTAAAATATTAGCTCACATTTACATTAGTTGCATTACTGTACACTGATTTGGCATTTTGATGAATTTGGTCAAACCAATTATGTTTGAATAATTAGGAATAGTGGAGAAAATGGAACCATTTTAGTAGTCTATTGAGAACCATTTCATCTTCATATATTTCTTTCTTCCATGCAGGCTGGTCGGGTTGAGGTGCCCTTTCATTGTCATCATCGCAGTAAAGTGCATGACTCTCACATTAATCCAATGCCGAGTCCTCGATCTGTCTTTGGTCCAACAAATGGCCATATTCACAAAGTATGTGACATTTTTTTTTCTTAGAAGCTTTGAATCTTTTCTGTAACTGTCTATTCTTCGTTATATCATGAAGTTCTAGAGTTGTCAGGGACATAGTCCAATACAAATGTAGCATGTAGCGACACGAGACTCGCCCCTTATATTAGGGGGACGTAATTCTCCCAAATATTCTTAATGTCATCTTAACTGTCTTAACCCCTTTCATAGCGAAGTCACAGAGTTGTCTGGAACACGGACCTGTGCAATGTAGTAGGTGCAGGGATTCGAGATTCCCCCCCTTATATTGGAGGAATGCAGTGCTCACAGAATGTTCTGAATATTGTGTCAAGTGTCTTAACCCCTTATATGGAAAGTCATGGAGTTGTCTGGGACGTGGTCCTTCACAATGTAGTATCCACTTATATTAGAGAAACTAGAGTTATGGGTATATATTCCTATGCGATGGAATAGATGCAGGAAGACAAGATTATAAGGGTAGACTCTTGGCCGTCATCATTCTGCATAACTCTTCTTAATACTTTAATATTTTTTATATTGAAGACTCTTTAATATCCCTGTTTCACAAAAAAAGACTCTTGATCTTAGTACTTAAACACATTGTCTTTCATTTTATATTTGTTTCTATTTTGCTGATCTAACTTTGTTGCATTTCTCTATATTATGTAGCTAGAACCCTCGCTTCAGTTTTCCCACTCTGCTATGGAGGGGGCTACAAAGTGGGATCCAGTTGGCTGGACAACAGCGGTGGAAACAAAGAAGGTATACGGCTATGAGAAGGTTCTTGATCAACAAGTGAGTACTGCTTCAATGATTTCTTCCCTTGAGGCAGAACTAGAATGCGCTCGTGCCAGAGTTCATCAACTTGAGACAGAACGGCAGTCATCAAAAAAGAAACTCGAACAGTTTTTGAGGAAACTTAGTGAAGAAAAGGCAGCATGGCGAAGCAGAGAGCATGAGAAAATTCGTTCAATTATGGATGACATGAGAGCTGACTTCTCCCGAGAGAGGAAAAACCGAAAGAGGCTGGAAATAGTCAATTCCAAATTAGTTAATGAGTTGGCTGATGCCAAGTTATCAGCAAAACGCTATCTGCAAAATTACGAGAAAGAAAGGCAGGCTAGAGGGTTGATAGAAGAAGTGTGCGATGAATTGGCCAAAGAACTTGGAGAAGACAAGGCTGAAGTTGAGGAATTGAAGAGGGAATCTCTGAAGTTCACAGAGGAAGTAGATGAAGAAAGAAAGATGTTGCAGATGGCTGAGGTTTGGCGTGAGGAACGGGTTCAGATGAAACTAGTTGATGCTAAGGTGATGCTTGAAGAGAAGTATTCCCAGATGAAGAGACTAATTGGAGAGCTAGAATCATTTCTAAGTTCTAGAGGTAAGAGTTTGGATGTGGAGGAGATGAAAAGAGCCGAACAACTCCAACAGGCAGCTGCCTCTGTGAATATTCGTGATATTAGAGAACTCACGTATGAACCTTCAAATCCAGATGATATTTTCTCCATTTTCGACGATGCTCATTTTGTTGAACCTGATGAAAGGGAGATCCAGCCATGTACTGCAGATAGTCCTGCCAGCCATTCCTCCAAGCTTCGCACTCTCAGTCCTGATGGTGATGTTTACAACTTTCCTGATGGTGATGTTTACAACTTCGACAAACATTCTCGTGCATATGTCAATCAGAGTGATTATATAGAGGAAGAGGGAAGTGAGTGGGAAACAGTTACCCATCTTGAGGAGCAAGGCTCTAGTTATTCTCCTGAAGGAAGTATTTCATCCGTCAACAAGTATTGCCGGCACAGCGATGTATCAAGAAGTGGAGCAGACTGGGAGAGAATTGGTGGTGATGGCACACCGGTTTCAGAAATTAGTGAAGTATGTTCCGGACCAGCTCAGCAACTTACAGAGGTGTCATCTGTATCTAGGTTTCGGAGATCATGCCCACGCAATGGAGACAAGTTCAAAATAAAATCACTAGAAGGAACTAATGGGAGGCTGTCAAACGGAAGGCTATCAAATGGGGCCATTCTTTCTCCAGATCATGGTTCGAGTAAAGGTGGCTTTAGCCCCTCAGACCTGGGAAGCCAGTGGAGCTCACCTGACTCGAGCAATCCACAAATAGCACGCGGAATAAAAGGATGCATTGAATGGCCACATAACTCTCAGAAGAAAAGCTTAAAAGCAAAGTTATTGCAGGCAAGAACAGAGAGCCAGAAGGTCCAGTTGCGCCAGGTCTTGAAGCAGAAGATCTGAGAGATAGTTCTGAATACCTGAACATGAGGCCTCCTGTCAGTAGGTGTATCAGTAAAACTAAAACAGAATTCAAATATTTTTCCGAGAATAGTCTTCTAACTGGAACTTGTTGGAGAATCATGTCTATGTATCGATAAATAACTTTGTTGTCAAAGCTATAAGAGTTTACTGTAATTTCAACGGTGTATTATTTGATGTTTCTTTAACTTATGGCTTGGGCCATTTATTACCAATATATACACCCTCCACAGAAGATTCAGTAACAAAGAGAGAAACTTTGCGTAGTTGATTTCCCTTCATTCCCCTACGAATGTCCTTCTGTATTAGCCATTATTTGATGGGGAAGAGATTGTCGAAAGGTAAAAAGTACAGAGGAAAAAGAAAGGCATCGATACAATTCCCAGCAAATTCCAACATGCCGGGGAAATAACATAGATAATTTCTTACCCTGTCAATCCTTAGCATAGATAATGTTTGACCGTTTAGCCTATTCTAGTCATATCCTCAAACCTCTTCCTGACCACTCATTGTTATTATTATCGTAAATAAATGAACATAGTATTGAATGAGTTAGATGTGTCCTCTTATTTTTGTCAAGACAAAAACCTAAAATGAAAAATGCTGACATGTTATTTCAGTTAAGAATTTTGTGTCAAGCATCCATCGTGATCTCCATAAAGGCAAGTCAATTAATACTTCTATTCATTGTCTAAGGTCTAATATAGACCAGTTTTACCTAGCTAAGAAGCTTTTGATAAATACAGCCAGAATGGATAATGAAGGGAAAAGTAAGCGCAGAAAACAGATTTTTTTTTTTACAAAAAAAAATTAAGGAATAAAAAAGTAGTCATAATACACAATAGGCTTGCTTAACAGAAGTCAGAAGAAAAGTTCCATTCATCTGCAAGTTTTGATGGCTGAACAATATACATTTTGTAAGCGAGTTGTTTGTAAAAACAACTGCAGCATTTTTTCTCCTTTAGGATTCAGTAGTATTAGCCTAAGCAGTTCCTCCGATTGCTTTTATCTCCACAGTAAGTGCATACAATCAAATTTCTACTCTACAAATCGGGCAGCTCCCATGCCGAATTAACCATTCATCGATGCATTGTGTGTGGAAGGAATGTTTACAACTTGGTAGTAACCTTGCTGAGTCCCCATCTTTGAAATCCTACACCATAGTAAATTGCACAGATTATCGTATTGCCACAGTCAAATGTTGGTTTACATAGTATACAAATTTGGATTAGAGTTAACTTGACAGCGCAAACAAGACACTTAAAAGATTACTATAGGTGACTGTCCATAATAAGTAGAACTAGTTACCTAGAATATAAAGTAGATGACCTATACTGCTGATTAAATTGTGTGTAAAGATTCTTTACACTGCCAGTATATGTAAGTTAAATCCGGTGGATTATTAATAAAAGGTAACAATAGGTTTACCTGCAGGCAAATTGCACAAGTGACTTCTTGAAATTCTCTGCAGGTATTTACAGAACAGAAATTGTACTTTGGCAGTTTCTGTATAACCTCTTGAGATAAACCTCTGGTTGCATTAATATCAAAGATATCAGATATTTCCCTCAAACTTGTTTCCACTGTACTAACCTGAATTTCAAGAAATTCATATACTAATTTATTAGGTAAAGCATTTTAGAATAAGCCCAAAAATGCAGAGTGAAATAGGCATCATATCTTACTTGCCACTGATAAGCTTTTAGAACTGCTGGACTCACCCACTCCATGAATACCTTTCCATTTACTAGACTACATACAAGTGCAACCTGTAAAATTTGGACATAATCAATTTCTCAATATTCCTCTAAAATCATAAAGAAAGAGCAAATAATTATTTAATTTATTCACAGGCTTATGAATTTATTCAAGCCGTGGAAACAACCTCTTGCAGAAATGCAGGGTAAGGCTGCAGGGTAAGGCTACGTACATTACATCCGGCCCTTCCCCGGACCCGCGCATAGCGGCAGCTTAGTGCACCAGGCTGACCTTTTACAGGCTTATGAATTTTTTATATACCGTCAGCGCACAGAAATTACCTTGGAAAATGGCTCTCCATTAACTATAAGTTCCACTAATTGAACAGTTGTAATAGCTCCGGTCACAGCACCCACTGCAGCCCCTCTGAGAAGCCCAGTTTCTGTTGTCTGGCCTTTGATTGCTCCTGTAATTATCCCTACTGTCGCTCCTCCTGATTTTCCCAATTTAAAAAAATTAAGTGACCATTATTAATGAATTAAAGACACATAGGCAGATGCAGTTTGATTTACTAGATTCAACTGAACCTAGTATTTTTCACACCGACAACAAATATATACATGAAAAATTACTAAAGATTGAACGCATCAAGTTTAAATTCGGAATTCAGTTGTGATTAAAGTAACAAAAGAGATGCACATACCTAAAGCAAGAATGCACATAAAAAGAGCCCAAATAGCATTCTTTATCACCATCAACAAGAGCCCAGAAGAAAAACCAGCAAATCTAAGGAAAACCCAAGTGAAAACAAACTCCTTACTCTTTACCAGTAAACTATGAATGCAAGAAAACCAATTGGTCGTCATTGAAAAAATGAGTAGTAGTTTAGCCAGAAGACTGGAACAGTATCTACGGAAGAGAATGAAGAGGTAGAACTGGTTGAATTAAATTTCACGGACTTAGTTTTTTGGAAGAGCAAGTGAAGTGAGTAGTTAAAAAGTAAAGGCAGGAAAATAGGTGCATTTATAGGGATGCAAGAGAAAAAAGAATTGCTTGCATTTAATTAAGAGAGTTAGAGCTTAGAGCTACCACTCACGTGCTAAGCTCATGCATGTGCTGCTGGAGTAGCCGTGATCAGAGGCGGAGCCAATATTTAAATTTTATGGGTTCAGGATTCTAGTTCTTTGAATTTACTGGGTTCTAACTTAATAATTTGTACGTATTCAATGAATTTTTTAGGACAAATATAAGGTTTGAATCAAAGTTACTGGGTTCGGCCGAATCGTAGCCGAAAGGCTGGCTTTGCCCCTGGCCGTGATCATCCATATATACATACATTCATGTCCCCTCATTCGAGATTTAACTAATCTTTATACGTTATGTATCTTCCGAAAATATGGGTTCAATACATTATATTTATACTATTTGGAATGAAAGAAATGCTACTAGTATATACCTTTTGTTTTCTTTTGGTGCAAATAACTAATTGGTGATGCAGAATCTTTGCTACATACATTAGAATCACTGATGTGTTAGATAGGTTACTGATGTGAAAGCTGGAATATCTTGTAATATTCAACCACATTTTGTGCTACATATAGTAATAAAAATAAATAAAGATAAAAGTAACATACTCCATCCATAATTTATGTGAATGTTTTTGATAATTAGGCATGCTCGGAATTTAAAAAAGAGAATTTCTTTTCTGAAAGTTGTAGTCGAGCATACCATAAAACACTAATGTGATTATAAATCATCTCATTAATTAAGGAATAAGAATCAAATGAGAAGTTTAAAGTTAAATTATTTTTAAATATAAAAATATGTCGTTATTTTCGAGATAGACTAAAACAAAAGTAAGTTAAATAAATTGGACAAAGAGGGTAATATTTATACTAACTTTGAAGGCTTTCACATGTGCGTGTGTGCGTGTATATATATAATCTAAAATAAAAGATCTCTGAGCTCAATTATACTATACATTTCCAGTGCCAGTGAGAATGAGCCAATTCATGCACTATACTGTTATACGGACAGCTCCATGTTGATGCTTTAAAGTTTCATAAATCAATGATTGAATTGAGGAAACCATACTGTAATTTCCTTCATAATGAAAGTACAGAGTTACTTATTCGTACGTAATTGCCTTTTGCGTTCGGTTATCCCGATATATGGAATTTAATTTGTCCACCCTTTTCTCCCTCTCTTTACCAACTAGTTCTTTTTACATATTAGATGCGTTAATTGATTTTAGTTTGAACTGTTCACTCAAGAAGAAATAGACACTCTCTATTGTAGAAAGAGAAACTCTACCTTCTCTCTAGGACTTACTCCCATGAATACAATCACTATTAAACCACTCATAACCGGAACCACCGGACAAGAACAACCATATGAACGTGGAAGAAATAACACCACATTCCTATAAGGAAATACTTCTCGATAAAACGGTAATCCACCAAAATGATTACTATGAGGAAGACGCCACCACAATCATCAAAGATGATAAAGGGAAAAACATTAAAGGCTCAATCCCCCTTTCCCAGGAAGACAGGAAATGCCTATACTTTTCATGGCGTTTCTCTGTAATCATAAAGGTCTTTGGACGTGGAATGCCATACCAATATCTTCGCTCTAAACTAATTGGCTTATGAAAACCATCTGAACAGTTAATCTTGATTGACCTAGGATGAGATTTCTTCATTGTCAAATTTAGGCTAGAAGAAAATATGGCAAAAGCACTACATCTAGGACCATGGTTTGTCTCTGAGAATTTCCTTTCATTATGAAAATGGGAACCAAAATTTGTGCCACAAGAAGCTACCATCTCTACCACATCTATTTGGATTCGTCTCCCACAACTTCCAACAGAGTTCTATGGCAAAAAAATATTAGAGAAAGTTTGTAGGAAACTGGAAAGACTACTAAAAATTGACTCATGCACCTCCTCAACTTTGAGAGGAAGGTACGCACGCATATGCATTCAAGTAGCTTTAGAAACCCCAGTGGAAACATCCGTAATAATTGGAGACCACAAGCAAATAGTGATTTATGAGGGAGAAGTCACACTATGTACAACTTGCGAAAGAATTGGGCACATATCAAGAAATTGCAACTACAAAAAAAATACAATCACCCACGCCACAAGAAGCACCGGAAACCTCAGAAAAAAAACATGAAACAAGGGGATGGGAATGAATGGAAGACAGTAACCTTCCCAAGAAGGAAAAAAACGGATCAACAAAAGGTGAAAGAGAGGAACAATGGATCTGCAAATAACCAACACCATGCATCACAAGCACAACAGATCCAGGTAAACATGTTTGACGCAAACTCAGATAAGTTCCTACAAATTAAAACTGTGCAATACAATTCTAAGTCAAACAATCCCAAACCAAAATTTTACAACAGGCCCAGCGGCCCAACCAATAAACAAAGCCCCATCCCCCACTCCCCTGCAACCCCTTCCATGAGGGCCCAACCCAAATATAACGCCAAACGCAAGGCAGGAATGTGGCCCGAGGAAATTGACACGATCTCCACCCTTGACCCACATATCGGCACCCACAACGAGGCCCCTAATCTTAGCCCAATCCCCGATGCAAAAGATGTCAACCTCGGGGTATTGGGTCACAAGGCCGCCCCGATCAACCAATTGGGGCCCACACCTAATTGGAGACACCTAGCCCAAATAATCACCCCTACCCAAACACCTACGCGTCCCCTACCTCTCTCTCAGAGAAAGCCTCTAATGGGGAAAACTCAACACACTCCATGAACACTCAAGTGCCTCATCTGAGAACCCACTCAAACTCAGGTGAAAAGACACTCGCCGTCCATTCCAAATACCATATTAATTTCGAATCCCTCTCGCCAGATACAATAACCGATGCCTTTTCCACTGACCAAGATTTGACACCAAAGGAAACAATTATGAATCGGTCGATTAACATAATCCCCCCATTACCCAGAGTAGCAAATAAAAAAAACACGAAAATAGAAAAAAATCAAATGCCACCCACCATTGTGACCTCGCTGCCACTACCACCGGACCACCTACCAGTATCCTGGCTGGAGGTAGCGTTATAGGGACAAGGGTTAACCTACAATTTCACCCTGGGAAATCAACCAGTGACCTTGATTATCCAGAAACTAGCACATTTGGCGAGGGTAACGGTGGAAGCACTGAACAAGGCCTTGGCTGCCTTCGGTCCATGTTTATGGCAAACAATGGCGAACAACGGCAACATGTAACCGAACGTCGATCCACCTCTGCTCAACAACCTAATGTCCCAAGCCTTCCAGTCAATACCATTCTTCCCTGATCCGGCAACGGAGGATCCAGCAGCGTCGCCGGTCTTTGTGACCATCGAACCCCAAATCCACCAGGCCCCATCATTTTCTGCTCCACCAGAGAAGAGTCTGTCTCCACCACTGGGCAACATCACAAGGGAAATAAACAAGGCCCTAAATCTCCTCAAAAGGAGAAACCCACCAGAAATGGAAGGAACAACCTATGGTCCCCTTCGCACAGACTCTCTACTACTGGACTCAGTCAGGGCGATAGAATTCAGTGTAGAGACCACCAAAGTACTGGTGTTGCTGTGCCCAAGAACGATGACCAAATATGGACTGAGCCTAGTGTCTCACTACTCCCAAGGAGTGACCAAGCCGCTTCTCAATCTGACTCCAGTCCTCAGCATGAGGGGAAAGATCCAAACGACTCCAAAGAGGACTCCACAGGGAATGGAGAAACCTCAGGAAAGCTAGTTCCCACAAATCCAACCACCCTAATAAACTACGTCATATGGAATATTAGGGGTGGAAACAACGCTGAATTCAAGAGGCACTGCATGGATATGGTCAAGCTCCACAAGCCAGCTATGTTGGTACTGCTAGAGACCAAGATGGTTGACCATAAAAAACTGGTAGAGGAATTACAATTTGACCTGATAAACCGATCTCCGGCTATTGGTTTATCTGGGGGGGGGGGGGTCGTGCTAATGTGGAAAGAAGATAGTGTTAGTATGGAAGAGGTTTCCACCACCCCTCAGGGTATCCATGCTATGGTAAAGGTACTCCCTGACCATACCCCTTGGTTATTTTCTGCTATCTATGCTAGTAATATTTTAGCTAACAGAAAGTTACTCTGGGAGAGCTTAGTTACTATCTCTAAAACCTCCATAAACAACTGGTATGTGGGAGACGACTTCAATGAAGTCTTGAAAGCTAGGGATAAATTTGGGGGCAACCCAATAAACCCTAATTGTAGTAACTTATTTTGGAACTGCCTTAATGAATGCAAATTATTAGACTTAGGCTACAAAGGAAGTAAATTCACCTGGACAAATAAAAGATACAAAAATAGGACTTGTCTGATTCTTGAAAGAATAGATAGGTGTTTTGTTAATGAGAGTTGGACTTCCCAGTACCTTGATATTACTGTGATACACTTCCTAGGACCCACTCTGATCACTGTCCCATCCAAGTAGTACTAAAAGAGGATTCATTCAATAATGCCACCAGACCTTTTAGGTTTGAATCCATGTGGACTAGCCACCCATCCTTTCCCAGTATCATCAATGAGGCTTTCCCCCTAATTCTACCCTAATTCAATCTACTGAGTCCTTTAAGAGGATTGTGACCCAGTGGAACAGAAACACTTTTGGCAATATATTCCATAAAAAAAGAAGAATCTTAGCCAGAATTGCAGGAATCCAAAAATCCCCTAATTACCAATTCAGCAGCTACTTGTTAAACCTAGAAAACAATCCGACCAATAAGCTTTATTCCATCCTAAAAAATGAGGAGGATTTCTGGAAGCTCAAATCTAGGATTAACTGGCTTAATGATGGGGATGCCATCACTATATTCTTCCACACATCCACTCTCAATAGAAGAAGAAGAAACAAGATCCTTTCCCTCAAAGAAGAGGGTGGAAACGGGCTCTATGATCAAGGAGACATCAAGACATCCATATTGTCCTTCTTCAAAAATCTCTATACCTCCTCACACTCACAAGCTCC